CCACATATACTTGTTAATTATCAATTCTAACCCTAAACACTAACTCAACTATAAAAAAAAAGCAGAGAAAAAACACCTCAAAAAATTTTAAAAAATTCATATCAAAATAGATCCGAATTTCAGCATCAGCCGTTTTCAGCATCAGCTGCGACAATAATTGTTTTTAACGTAGCTGTTAAAAAGTATAGCTGTATAAAAAAATTATGTATTTAAAGACCACTTGTCTGCCTTACTACCCAATATCTAAACTATAATCACTAAAATATTTTTTAAAATGAAATATAGTCATCAGTTATTTATAAAAGTACCTGCAATAAAAACTCAAAAAAAGTTATTTGCACATGTAAAGTGTGCAAAGATGAAAAAGAACTCTGTGATTTCTGAACAAAAGATGCATATATTGAAAAATATGGAATGCATGAAGAATTAGTAGATTTTGCTGAACCTGAAGATGATTTCTCTTCTTCTACAGATCCTCAAACAGAAGGCAGTGGTGCATCTCAAACTAATATACCTTCCCTTACTTTAATTGATCTTAGTCTTCAAGAAGAATTGTTTCTTCAAGAAGAATCATTTTTTGTAACTAAAAATAATAGAAAAAAAATAAAAGCTATAATTAGAGAACAACTTGATATCGCTATTGTTCTTGAAACTTTAAATATTTCTGATGATGAAGAAATTACAGAAGTAGAGCCTGAAAGTGATGATGAAGATACTATATTAAACTATTCAGCTTCTAATATTGATAGTAGTAATGAAGAAAATTTTGAAGATATTAGAAATCTTAATCAAGACTTTGGTTAGATATTAATTTGAATCTTGAGATACCAACAGAGATATCAGTTTGCCAATATTACAACAGAATTATTAATTAAATTTATATATTTTTTATTAACTTATCTTAACCAGAATCAGTTTCAAAACTTTTTAGAATCGTTCTATTTGGCCTGAAAGTTAATGGGATTGGGTCTATACATAAATAACTATACAATATGCTCAGCATGTAACAAGTTGTATAATCCTGATAAAATAACAACAAAAAAGTCTGAACAAATCCCAATGTTTCTTTATTGTAATTTTGTAGAATATCTTAACCACCTGATGTCTAAGATGAGGCAACCTTGCAACCAACAATTAGCAAAAGAGGTACCTACCAAGGATAGAATATTGTATCGCCCTTTGCTTACTTATCTAATAATAAATATTCAAAATCAATTCCAATTATTATATAGTCAAAGTGGTTTTGAGAAGTTATGCAAAAAATGTATTAAGAGAAAAATAAGCAATAATTATCTTGCTGATATCTATAAAGGTAATATTTGAAAAACATTTAAAGATCAAGATACAAATTTCTTTACTTCAGAGTATGCCGATACACATCTTGGCCTTATGATTAATCTGGACCAGTTTAGTCTTTTCCAAAATTCTACATATTCTACCAGTGCAATATATGCAGTTATTTGTAATTTGCCTCATGAACTCAGATTCAAGCCACAAAATATACTAACCTTGACATTATTGCCAGGATCTAAAGAAATTAAAATATACTATATTAATCATTATCTTGAACCTTTAGTTAATCAATTACTTGAATTGTAGGGTAGAATAGAAATCTCTACATACGAATCTTCTATGGGCAAAAAAATTAAATGTGCTATTATATACTACTCATGTGATATTCCAGCTGCTAGAAAGTTATGTAGACAAATATCAGCAAGGATTGCATGTTTTTAATATGAAAAATATGCATAATATAATGCTAGACATCAACCTAACTTTGGAGGATTTGAAGATATGGATGACTGGTTTGTGAAGCATGATGTTGATAAAATTAAACATGATATATATGAATAGTTACAATGCAAGACTAAAGATCAAAGAAAGCATCACCTGTCTGAAAAACTGGTAAGATAGTCAGAACTCTATCATCTTCCTTATTTTAACCCAATCAAACATGTAATTGTGGACCCAATGCATTGTTTATTTCTGGGAATTGCAAAGTAGATTGTTATGTGTCTTTGGATAGATAGTAGAAAATTAACTTCTGATAGTCTTAAACTTATAGATAAAAGAGCAAAAAAATTGCAAATTCTATCAGATATCGGGAGAATTCTTTATAAAATTGCTACAAGAGAAGAATTTTCTGGGTATACAGCAGACTAGTAGCAAACATTTATAATAATATATGCTACTACCATTACTTGGGACTTATTAACAGAGCCAGACTAGCATATTCTTACAAACTTTGTCAGAGCATATAATCTGTTAGTTTGTAGAATATTAGATAAAGACTCATTTAATGAAGCTTATCAAAGATTATTAAATGTAGTAAAGTTAATAGAACGCCATTATGATCCGGAAAAAATTATATCTAATATTCATTTAAGTTTACATTTGTATGAAAATTGTATGGATTATGGACCATTATATTCATTTTGGTGTTTTTTCTTTGAGTGAATGAACAGAATTTTAGATAATATTGGACATTATTATAAATATCAATATAGTTTATATAATAATATTGATATTTATATAAAATGCTGATATTTATATAACAATACTGATATTTATATAATAATACTGATATTTATATTTTATAGGCTCATATAAGACTAGCTAAAAAAATATAGAGCCAGAATTTTTAAGAATTATTCTCACAAATAATTGTTTAGATGAAATTGTATCACATGCTAAAAATGATAAAAGACTATCTGATTCTCTAACAATAATAAAAAAAAGAATATCAGGTGGTAGCATAGATATTTTAGATAAATTTAAATTACAAGATCTTCTTTAATTTTATAATTTAAAAAATATTATTAACCAGGAAGAAGCTTTTGGTTATAAATCATTTCCTGGTATATTTCTTGGTTCAAAATCGAAAAATTCTATATTAAATTCTGATATCTTAGATCTTTTAGTTGCATTCTATGATGACACAGTAGAAGGTTTTTAATTTACCAAGCCTGGACAAATATCAGAAATTAAACAAATATCTGTATTTCTTAATATTATTTAATATGGATGATTAAAATTGGGGTCTGAAATTTTTAGATCTATATTCTCAGCTCATCACATCAAATCTTCAAGAATTCTGGTAAGATTTGTTGCTACAGAGGATAAAACAGTAGATTTATATCCTGGTCAAGTTCAATTCTACTTTGACCACACTATCTATCTTCTTTTAGATGCACAAATATATCATCTCGTATTTGTAAGATGGTATGAACTTGCTGATGATTATGAAATAAGATTTTATATAAAAATTAAAGATGATGATAATTCTAGTTGTAATATAAAGTTGTGGGGTCAAGAATTCTGTGAGTTAAGCAGGGATTGCATAATTCCTGTATATCAAATATATTCACAGTTTATAGCAGGTATATATATTATCGCTTCCAAAACATATATAACTGTAATCCCATTATATAGAAAATACAATTTATGAATACTGATATTTCAATTGTATTTTTATTAACTTATTATATCCTTATCAGTTTATTCTTTTTTATATTAATATATATATTAATATATTTATATATTTGATATTAATCTTATATATTTAAATAAAATTATTTTTTAACTTATATATGGGTTATATAACAACTAGATTTTCATTATTGGTATTAATATAAATATCAGGAATAAATAATATCGATATCGATATCAGAATTCGAACTCTTCAAATAAAACCAAAATTCAGTAGATCGGCCAAAATTCTGGGTCAGAATTGATGAATTTTGCTATAACTTTAATGTGTTCTAACCCTAAATTTTGGCTAGTCTGCTGAATTTTAGCATACTATTAATCTATTCTGATCATCTTTACATTTACTGGTATATACATATAGGGTTAGAGTTAGTTTCAGGAATATATTTTTAATAAATTGTCACTCAGTGTGATGTTGGCTAAATAGTACGTACTATGACAATAAATAACGGTAAACCAGAGCTACAAAATTCAGGTATGTTATAATTAATTCAGATATTGGTGAATTTTTAATAAAAAATTTCCGATATTAAGTATATAATTATAGTTTAATCATCATAATTAATACATATCATGTTTTTTTGATAAAAATTTCTGATATTAAGTGCATAAAATATAGCATGATATGAAAATATATGTAATTGCTTAAAAAAATAAACTGTAAAATCAATTATATTGATATAATTAAAAAATTTATTTTTTCTTGTTTCGACTATACCAGCAATATGTAATTTTTTTAAAATGTTGGATTCCTGATATTAATATAGCATGACATGTATTTTCTCTAAAATTTATTTCATAATTCTTTTTTTGCTGTTTTGCTTATACCAGCAATATGTAATTTTTTTAAAATGTTGGGTTTCTGATATTAATATAGCATCACATGAAAATATATATATTTTCTCTAAAATTTATTTCAGAATTCTTTTTTTGCTGTTTCACTTATACCAGCAATACGTAATTTTTTTAAAATATTGGGTTCTCGATATTAATATAGCATAACATGAAAATATATGTATTTTCTCTAAAATTTATTTCATAATTCTTTTTTCGCTATTTTGCTTATACCAGCAATATGTAATTTTTTTAAAATGTTAGGTTCCTGATATTAATATAGCATGATATGAAAATATATGTATTTTCTCTAAAATTTATTTTGTAATACTTTTTTCGCTGTTTCGACTATACCAGCAATACGTAATTTTTTTAAAATGTTGAGTTTCTGATATTAATATAACATGACATGAAAATATATATATTTTTTTTAAAATTTATTTTGTAATTCTTTTTTCGTTGTTTCGCTTATACTAGCAATACGTAATTTTTTAAAAAGTTATAAATATAAAAAAGATAAGTTTCTTCTTTTTTTTATATTTTTTTTACACTTTCGTTTTCAAAATAGATAGAGGCATTGTAGTTTTATATAAAAGACAGCCAGAGAAAAGAGTGCGTACTATAGCCCAAACAAGTGGCAGCAAGAGAAGACGTTCTTTCTCATCATCATCAAGAGTTAATATATATTGGTTAAAAAAAGATTATATTTTAACTAAACAATACCTCGTAATATATATATTACGAAGTATTGTTTAGTTAAAATATAATTTTTTTTAGCTAGTGATATATCGATATCGGAAGCTTGTATTATAATTTTATATATTGTTAAGCCAGACTATTTGCATATAAATATATATAGAAAAAAAATAATTACTTCTAGTTTCATCCTTTATTATTAGTAGCGATAGTGAGGATAGTGATAGTAAAAGCAATAGTAGTGAAAATAGTTCTAGTAGTGAAAGTATCAATATAAGCAACAATAATAAACATTTAGAAGCACTTAGAGTATTTAGATATTTGGATATAAGTATCAGGTTCTGATAGAAATATTAAAAATATGAAAATTTTTTATATTTTTGATATTTTTATCAGGGCCCAATACTTATAGCTGATTTTTTTCTGTTTTTTTTTGGCTATTTTGTTTTATACATAAAATATCTGAATTATTATTATTATTATTATTATATTAGACTGATATCTTTTAGATTATTGATGGTCTAGATGAACAAAATAGACCAGACTCTGCAAAAAAATAGTTTGAATTCAAAAAACAATTTCTTCAGAAATCATTTTCAAAAATTAAGGATAGTGTTGCAAAATACCATGTCGATGATAACCAAATACTTCATATTATCAGAGAAAGACATCGATATCAACATGAGAAGTATTTAGAAAAAAAAAGTTCGGTAAGACATAATCATGCTAAAGGAAGGATGAGACATAATACGCAGTTGGTACAGATATATTATTAATACTATTATATATATATATAATTATCAGCATTTTATATCTTATTATTATTTATTATTATTAATAAATATCGGCATTTTATATCTTCATTATTATTTATTATTATTATTAATTTATTTTATTTTATTATTATTTTTATTATTATTTTTATTATTATTTTTATTATTATTTTAGTAATTTTAATTTTTATATTTTATTTATTTAAAAAATGAAAAGACGAAAGAATAACTTTACTCATATATTGAAAACAAAAAGCTGCTCTTTATATGAGGACTTACCAAAAGAAGTTCCAAAAAGGTGAGCAATCGCAGATTTAAGAGATGTATTAAAAGATTGATGATATCACAGCAACAAAGTATCTGAAACCGATACTGAAAAAGCCAATAAGGAGCACCTCGCTGGTAACCGTATCAGTGATGATCACAAAGATCGAGTTATCAAAGTCTTGGATAAAAGCTAGCACTTCCAGTAGGTAAAACCTAGACATATAATTAATAATTATAATTTTCTGCCTAATAATAAAATAATTGGACAGATTAATTCTATTAAGCTGCAAAATAACTATCAGGATTATGCTTACAAGTATTACCAAGGAAAATGAGGCTTTGGGCTTCCAATTTTATTATTTATTATTACCTGATAAACATATACATATTGTTTCTAATAAATATTTAAATGATAAAATAGAAAGTCTAAAGTCTTCTTTTTTTTTTGGAAATGCTCATATAATAATAATAATATTATTATTATTATTATTATTATTATTATTAATTTATTTTTTTTAATAATAATAATATTATTATTATTATTCTTATTCTTATTAATTTATTTTTTTTAATAATAATAATAATAATAATAATATTATTATTATTATTTTTAATAATAATAATAATAATTTTTTTAATTTATCTCTAGTTGAAAGAAATTTTGTGGTCGGCCGAAGAATTTTCATTTGTAAAAAAAAAATGCTCCAGATATTGCTAGAGGAATGCCCCAGGTTTAATAGATAGAACTTCATCACCACTTCCTGATTCATCGGCCTGGCTCATATCCCAATCTACCGATATTAATACAGGCAAGACCAATAGCAATAATGAAAACTCTAATAATCCTGCTGACTCCCCCAATAATGATAATTCTAATAATTTTGATGAAGAATATGAACCTATTGCCAGGCCTAGTAACTTCCCAAATAAAGCATATCATACACGGTCTCACACAAAATGAGTTCTTAGTTTATCCACAGGTATAGCATTGTTTCTCATCTTCTCAATAGTCATTTCACTGACAAGCCATTACCTAACATTACATAGTAGTTAGGGTTAGTATTTTTGTTAGCTATGAGTACATATATTATTAGTAAATTATCACTTTGTAATGTTAGATAAATGGCCTGTCAATGTAATAACTATTAGGAAATTAGATGAAATTAGAAAGGCAATAACTGGCTATTTTAGGCTTAGCTGATCGGCTAAGTCTAAAATAGCTAGCTGTTGTCTTTCCTAGATATAATCTGACTAAAGATCATATTAAATTATTAAATTTGAATTTGACAAAAAGCACTTGCCCAACCAACAATGTTTGAAATATTTAATAAAATTATTAAAAAAACTAATAAAGAAAAGCAAAAAGAAGTTGGTAAAGAAGGAGCCGAAGTTGATAAAAAAAAGCAAAAGGAAGTTGGCAAAGAAGGAGCCAAAGTTGATAAAGAAAAGCAAAAGAAAGTTGGTAAAGAAGAAGCTGAAATTGATAAAGGAAAGCAGAAAGAAATTGTTAGTATATATTGTAAAATAGTAATAGATACCAGCTATATAAAGTATTTTTATTTAGTATTTGTATACTTTTTCTGGTTTAGAACCTATAGGAATTCTTCTTTAATATCAAAAGAAGAAACTTCTAGAGTTCCTAGTCATCAAGAGTCCAATATCAGCACATTTGATATTAACTATCAAGGTTCTAACGTTGATGATACTGAAATTATAGAGACTCTTGCAAATATCGAAATCTTTCTACAACATTTATTAGAACCAAAAGAACTAGAAGATCAGGAGGAGAAAAGTAAAAACAACTAAAAGTAAAACAAAAAAAACAAAAAAAACAAAAAAAAAAAAACAAAAAAAAGAACAAACGAAAAAAAGAAAAAAAGAAAAAAGAAAGACTTTTTTCTTTTCTTATTTTGATATCAGGTTATTGAAACTTTTTTTAATACATATTATTAAAGTACAAATAATATATGTATATAAGTATACTGTATACTAATATGTAAACATATGAATATATTTTATTATTTGCAAATAAAAACCATATATACTATACCAAAAATCAGGATAATAAAAAAAAAAAAAATTTTTATATACATTTTTATATATCTATATGTTGCTATAATGCTATGAACTTGCAAAATAAATATCAGGATAATAAAAGAGGTAAAAAGTATATCGTTATGTATATTTTTATATACCTATATGTTGCTATAATGCTATGAATTTGCAAGTTGAATATCGGGATAATAAAAGAGTTAAAAAGTATATTGTTATGTATATTTTTATACACCTATATATTGCTATAATGCTATGAACTTGCAAGTTGAATATCGGAATAATAAAAGAGTTAAAAAAAGAATATCGTTATATATATTTTTATATATCTATATGTTGCTATAATGCTATGAACTTGCAAGTTAAATATCAGGATAATAAAAGAGGTAAAAAAAAAAATCATTATATATATTTTTTAAATACCTATATTACTATAAACTTGCAAGTTGAATATCGGAATAATAAAAGAGTTAAAAAAAAATATCGTTATGTATATTTTTATACATCTATATGTTGCTATAATACTATAAACTTGCAAGTTGAATATCAGGATAATAAAAAAGGTAAAAAAGAATATCATTATGTACATTTTTAAATACCTATATATTGCTATAATGCTATGAACTTGCAAGTTAAATATCAGGATAATAAAAGAGTTAAAAAAAGAATATCGTTATGTATATTTTTATATATCTAAATGTTGCTATAATGCTATGAACTTGCATGTTAAATATCGAGATAATAAAAGAAGTAAAAAAAGAATATCATTATATATATTTTTAAATATCTATATGTTGCTATAATACTATGAACTTGAAAGTTGAATATTGGGACAATAAAAGAGTTAAAAAGAGAATATCATTATGTACATTTTTATATATCTATTATATATGCCGCACAAACTAAAATCTTCAAAATCCCACCCAAACCCAAATCCCATGTGGAAAAATCCCAAAATCTAAATTGAACAAACCCTTTTTGGGCTGTTATAATCCCAAACTCTGGTCAAATCCCAAACTCTGATTAAATCTCAAATCCTGTTTCAAATCTTCAAATTTTGAAAAATAAATACAAAAAAAAAAATAAAAAAAAAAATACAATAATAATAATATTATAAAAATATATATTTTTGAATTAAAAACAGATCTAGTTAAAAAGTTTAATTGGTAATTCGTCACTCAACCAGAGAGAGCTTATAGTATAACATGACACAGTTTACAT